GAGGTTCGGAAGATCTCCCATTGGAATATCATCGCTGGTTTCTTTTACGTAAATAAAAAATTTGCAATTAGAGTAAGTGACGACAATTATCATCTAATATATAATCGAGACGGGTTGATGATAATGATAATGATAATGATAATAATAATAATAAGTGCAGAGCCCAAACGGTTAAGAGTTGAAAGTTTAAATTTGGTACACAGTTAGGGTACGTTAGAAGAACGCACATTAAGAAGGAATTTTTCGAAATTCCTCCCCACGGGGGAGGAGGACGGGATTAAGCCTTAACACTTCCATCAACAATGGAAGTGTTAAGTAACAATGGAAGTGTCAACAATGGAAGTTTTACGTAAAAATGGAATTGTTAAGAGATAGCGACGTTTTAAGAGAAAGTGCAGTTTTTTTCGTTTTTGCAGGAAATCGAAGATATTTTTAGACTCATCTAAAAATTTTTTAATTAATCTGGAAACGGGGGACCCAATTCTTGCATTCTGTGAAAACGGGTAATGTTGACTTTAACGTAATAATCTTAATCTTCGCTATCGTTACCTTTGCCCGAGCAACGCCGGGTCTACCTGCTAGTCTATAATAAATTTTATAAAATTTATTTGTAATTAAGTAAAATATTCGGAGAGAATTTTTAATTTGTCTGCAACAGATGCTGGATTTGATAAAGAGGTTCGGAAGATCTCCCATTGGAATATCATCGCTGGTTTCTTTTACGTAAATAAAAAATTTGCAATTAGAGTAAGTGACGACAATTATCATCTAATATATAATCGAGACGGGTTGATAATAATAATAATAATAATAATAATTAGTGCAGAGCCCAAACGGTTAGGAGTTGAAAATTGAAATTTGGTACACAGATAGGGTACGTCACGAAAACGCACACTAAGAAGGGATTTTTCGAAATTCCCCCCGGGATTATTTTTTCCCGAGCAATGCCGTGCTCATCTGCTAGTATATATATATGTATATGTTACGGCCAGAGCCCGAAATCGGACAAAGCGGGAAGTGTCCGGCCAAATCGGAAAATGGCCAATGTCGCTGTAAATTGACTGGCAAATATCCGATCGTTTCTTGAATTTGGGATTTGGCCGGCCAGTTTGCGAAGTGGCATGAGGCGATCGGTCAAAGTCGGAAGAAAAAAGTCATGGTCGTTTGTAAGTAAGTTATCTACAACCTCTCCGGGCAGATTTGAGGTTCTCAGCCCCACTTTTGCTTTGCAGCCAAACATGGCCTCGTAGGGCGATTGCTGAATGTCTTGGTGAAAAGAACGGTTTTTCATTAATTAAATAAATCGGAAACTTTTAGCCCAATGTGTTGATTTATTTGTCTGCATCCATGTCATCATCATATTATGAACATCCTGGTTGGAACGTTAAACGGAATCTTGGCTTTGGTTATGCCTCGGTTTTTAGTTCAGGCAATATGTTCTTTAGTTCATTTATAACTTGTTTCGCAAATTTTCTCACCATTATCTGATTGAAACCCACTTGGAGCACCTATAGTGGCGAAGATATCAAGTAGCTGGTAAGCAACTTCTGCTCTTTTGCTTTTTAGAGGTCGCAATAATATAAACTTGGTTAAATGATCCTGATAATTGAGCATAAACTTGTACTTGCCGTCAGGGTTACTTTGCATGTCTATCTGTAAAATCTACCTGGCATCTTGGAGTTAAATTTTTTATATATCAAAGGTTTAGAAATTAGACCTTTCTTGGGATTTGATAATTTGGTATGACATGGCTTGCATAAGCGGAGGTACTGTACTTTACAATGTAATGACTTCTTTGGTGACATTTTTGTCTTAGTTTGTAGCTCCTTTCCATCCGCGTGCGACTTCCATGTTCAATTTACAAGTGGGTATCGTGCAATATGTCGAAAAATTCTTCTGTATGTACATAGTACAAAATATCACTATTGTGCCCTGTTATTGGCACAATAAGTTTTTTTATTTGCCATCAATTTCAATAACATCATATTTTCTTAGTCGAAGATAATCAACACTTTTTTTTTTCTACTTTTCTTTTGCGTGTTTAATTGACATAAAAAACCTTGTATTTTTCTCTGATGAGGATCCCACTATTATTTACTTTTACTTGCAGCAACGTATTCAAAAGTATCCGAGAACCTGATTTGCATATCAAATGTTTCCGCATTTACGTGTAGTCCAACTTCAGCCAGCATATTTGTCCAATCAGAAATAGCCATGGGACAACCACGGGAAAACAATTTCAATTATGAATGTTTTGAAATCGTAATATTGTTACATGGGATACAGCCCCAATAAATTGTCTTCTGTTGCTAATTTAATACGTTCCTTTAAAGGAAAACGTGTGGCAGCAAACAGTCCTTTATTAACCTTGGCATAATTATCTCCTTTCAGCAATGTGTTTCATTACACGTACAGTACGTACGTGTGATGAAAGGTTAAATTTTAGGGCACGTATATGTGTTGCTGACAGTACGTACAGTACGTACTGTCAGCAACACATATACGTGCCCTAAAATTTAACCTTTGAACTCAAAGTATTCATATAGAATACTATAAAAATACGAGGAATACACTGTTCACAATGAAACCATTATGCCAGAATAATAAGAACAAGTCTCAGAGGCAGGGTCTTCTCTGAAAAGCAGCAGACATACGGAATATTATCGTCACAACGTGGCATCTTCCAGTCCCGGATAGTCTTGCATCAGCACATTGAATTTTGGCCAGAAATTTTCCGCCACTTTGCTAAATGGCCGGCCAGAGTAGTATATACACTGGTCATTACAAGTACAGTACATCGGACAGCGGCCACTTCTCTCGGCCAAAGTACGAAATGGCCAGCCAATTCGAAAACTGGCCGAATTTCAGGCTTTGTTCGTAACATATCTATACGAGTATAATAATGCCTTTCGGTCCAATCTACGTATGATGAATTAAGGCTACGTTATGGTGTTATGAGAGAGAGAGAATTTATGATGAAGAATGAATATAATTTTGATGTAAATTATTAAAGTTATGCGTATAATTTGATGCAGAAAACTTAGAAAAAATTCTCAAACGTATGGACTTACTCAATTGGAGTGAATGCAAACACAGGGCCGATTGGAGGAAATTTAATGCAAGAGTTTCATATAGATTATATAGATCTATATGAAACTCTTAAATTTAATGATAGAGTTTCATATAGAATATAATTTAATCAAGAGTTTCATTTTCTATTATTATATTTGCATAATTATAATATAAATATTGTTAATGATTTTAAAAATATTTAACTTGAAACTCTTGTATATAGATAAATTAATAATTGATAAAATATTTTTTTATTTTATTTTTTATTTTAAAATTTTGGAATACATTTGCAAAGTAACAATAAAAAAAATAATTTTACGTAAACTGCTATTGTATCAATATATTATAATCAAATATTTACTCGTAGATTTTAATAATAATTTTCTATTTAGTCGTTGAATCGATAAAAGCATTTCGTCATTGTTTGGTTTAGAAAAAGGCTGTTTTATCTTAATAACTATTTTATTCGGTATTAAATGCTTTGTATATAGAGACAAAGGATATTATACGTTACAGAGACGTATACAAAATAATATCAAAGACATATTTTCTGCTTTCTATCATCTACTCATTCCATTTTTTTAAATATAACTTATACAATAGAAGTTACATAAAAAAAAGGAATGAGTAGTTATATAACTGATATTTTATAAGTTATACAAACCATAAAATCATATTTTTTAGGTAACTCTTCTAAATATTGTAAAATAATAATAGTGGAATAAAAATATTAAAATTCGTAAAATTAACTACGAAACTTATATATAAACTATAAAAGAAAATAATGTTAGTATATATGTTATATCTTATTCTAAATAAATTTTTTTCCTTCTGTCTGAAAGAGGCACGATAAAGATAAAGAAAAACGAGCAATTTATTGCAATTTTTAATCATGTTTTTAATTTAAAATATATGCTTTCCACCTCAAATTAGTAATGGTTTGCCCCTGTACATCATACTTTTCCTTTAACACTAGAGCCGTGCCGGTCATCTATCTAGCGCCCCTTTCGGGGAAAAAATTTTGAATTGAAATAACGTGACTTCCAGTTTGATTCGGAAGTTCTTATATAGTTAATCAGGGCTTCTTGCCTCTAAGGTTTTCATATCTTATCTGGTCTTTCATCTATCTGTCTCCGTTCTCGAAATTAAAGGAAATTTATAAGTCTACAATTTTTTCCAAAATTGCACCCCAATGAAAAGGTATATCTAGTTAAAAACAACGTTCAAGTTTTATAGGAGCTCGTTTGATGTAAATTCGATGTATAAAAAAATTAAATGACGTATAGAATAACGTGTTCGTATATGATTGATTAGTCGATAAATTTATTTATTTTCTCCTTTGAAAATTATATACTCGAGAGATATGTAATTGTAATTAAGCTCTCAGATATCCTTATTTTCTCATAAATAATATAACTTTAATGATTAATGGAATGTAGAGCAATTAGTACTAAAATTAACTCTTCCTTTAACTATATACACATGTTGAATATGTTATTGAATTAATTATAATTATAGAATAATCGTAAATTAAATTATCTGTTAAAATTTCCGAATTTAGTTAAATATTCATTATAATTGTAAAAATATAATTTATATACATAAAATTTAAGTTGTTCTATATTTAAAAATAAGGCCATTTGACTAGTTTTTAACAGAAAATTTATTATATTGTATCACGGAATGAAAATGTTAAACATTTACATAACTTAAGTGAAAATTTATGAGATGAATATTAAAATTTCACATAGATATTTATTAACAATAAATTTATTTTTAATAAATTAAAACAAAAGTGTACTCGTTTAGAAACGATTTCGTTCATAATGTCTGTGGTAGAATTCTATATTTAGAATTCTACCACAGACATTATGAACGTATCATACTATAAAGTGAATGTATATAATATTTTTACTGTTTGACTTTAGACATTCGAATTGCATGCTTCTTTGCGTCATTGGTGGACTGATGTTAGACTAAAATACAACGAAAGTCTTGGTCGAAGAGTCTTTGGAATGAAGAGTCTCCGCGACGAAATCTGGACCCCTACATTGTTTTTCAACAACGAAAAAGAAAGCCAATTGGTATCGACCACCAAAGACAACATTTATGTACAAATTCAATCGAATGGAAGCGTATATTATTCATTGAGGCAAGTTTTCTTTCAATTGTGTTTTAAAGTTTAATTATATTTGATTATAAATGAATTTATATTAAAATAGGTTACGTTTGACCCTTTCTTGTCCAATGAATCTGAAAAATTATCCCTTCGACAAACAAAAATGCAGAATTAAAATAATGAGCTGTGAGTTTATAAATATTTTTATTTTATAAATCGTAAAGTAATAATAATAATAATATTTAATCACGATTTTCTTTATTAAACAATTTTTAGGGTTATACGGAAGTCAAGATTTACGTTTAAAATGGAAAAAAGACTGCGTAATATTTCTAGAAAGCGTCGAATTACCAGAACATTTTCTGGATAAAGATAATGTCGAATGTTCTAGCTTTAATAGGACTTATTATACAGCAGGTAAAAATTAAAATAAGGGTGTAGAGACGGATTAATTCACTTCTTATTATTTATAATGGATAAAACTGATTCGGACTTTGAATAATTCACAGTTTGAACGGCCTCCTGAAACGAATCAAATTTGAAGTACGAGGCACCACTGTAATTCTAGGGTTGTTTTAATGTCTTATGCACTTATAACATATATAATAATACATTCTCAGAAAATAAATGCTGAAAACAGAATAAATTATTAATTAATATGCATCTATGTCCTTAATTTAATCAAAGTTATTCTTTCAATCACTATAACAGTGTATTTCCATTAATAGGACTTATCATACTGGTGTATATAACTGTGAGTCTGTAATCTTATACACCAGTATGATAAGTCTTATTAATAAAAATACACTGTTAAAGTGATTGAAAGAATAATTCAGAATAAATTATGTTCGAACAGCTCTTAATTCCTCATAAAATATCAATATGGATTATTTTGTGATTTATTTATAATTGCATCGTATAAAATATGATAATTAGATATTTGTCAATGTCAAAGTTAACTTTTCTGATTAAAAATCTAAGACATAATCTAAGTAAATTGGAATTTTCTTCTCCAATGAGCAAATTTATTCATATTCCATTAGATGGAGGAATAAAATCACCAAAACACGAAGTGGCATGGTAATTATGCTTTAAGTTGCTGACTAACTTTTTTCTTGTTCTTCTATGACTTTAAATACTATTATCAAGAAAAGTGCACAAATTAGAATGAACAGCATGATACAGGCATATAAATGAACTAGAGTATGAAAGAGATGGGTGATGTGGGCCACTCTGCGGATCAGATGTTCAGATGGGTGACATTTTTCGAGTTCATCCATTGAGCTGAACACGTTGATTATATTAGTGATGAAAAATGGCGGATGGACTATTAGTCTTGTTGGATGAAACACGAAAAAGCCACTCATCTGAACGTAGTGACCTGCGTAAGAATGTACGAAAATTCACGTACCCATCTCTTTCTTAAGATGCGTTCACACAGATAAACGTAACGTAACTTAATGTGGCGTTATTATATGCCAGGAAGTCATTTTAGATCAAAATCGTCCTATCATTTCGTGCCCATACAGAAAAGATAGGAGGAGGAAAAGTGGCGGAAAACATTTGAAAGAGGAAAATCTAATTATTGAAGAGGAAAAATAGAATCTGATTTTATACAAACTTAGGGAAAACGATTATAAAAATGTTGATACTTGATTGGCTAACCGTAAAAGTTCATGTGCCCACCCATATGAACACTTGCACGTACCGTAAGAAGTGCTCATCTGAGTGAGCTCAGTTTATTCATATGCCTTAATCTACAAGTAATTATTGCTCTGTTCTCCAAAATATATGTTCTTGCCTTAATAATAGTCTTTAATACAGTATTACAAATGCGAGTTAAGTGTCTGAGTTATAAGAATACACAGTAAACAAAAATGGAGGCTTTAAGTACTTAGGCAAGTTTTTGTATGAAAACAGTGTACAGATTTTATGTTCTGCCCTAACTGTATTTTGCCATAAACCCGAGTTATTTTTATTTGAATCTATTTTATTTTTAAAATTCAATCCCTTTTAAGCACTACAAATTTATATTGATTTTAAATCTCTTTATTTTTATATTGTTTTAAATTTTATTTTCAATTCAAATAGGAGAATTCAGTGGTATAGAAGCAACACTATCGTTTCGAAGAGAAATACCATTCTACCTGATGGAAGTATATCTACCTGTCAGCTTATTAGTTATAGTATCTTGGTTATCATTTTGGTTGGACGTTTATGCTGTTCCAGCAAGAACTGCTTTGGGAATCACAACAATTTTAACAGTTATCACAAATTCCAGTGGTGTTAAAGAATCCATTCCAAGGGTAAGTAAAATTAATAATATTTAGAAAGAATAACATATAATGAACTTGTATGATATTATATTGTATAATGTCATATAAGATCATTTGTAACCTGTTATAAATGATAAAGTTAACCTGATATTTTATCTATTATAGAATTAATAACAGTATCGATGCTACAATAATAAATACATATCAGTAATCAACGTGGCAAATGTGTGTATAACTTTACCTCATAAGTATTTATTAGGATATTTAAAATATTACAATAAAATATTAAATTAAATGGATATGAATCAACCTGCAATAAAAAATCTTATCTTGTAAATATTTATAACTAATCTAACTAAGAATGTTTTGATAGTAGGCCTATTATTGTTATTGACGTTAGGCCCATTCGTCAAAATATTATTCTTACTATATTTTAACAAATATCATGACTGTTCTTTATGCATCAAAAAATTTGGTGACTATATTTATTAGAGCTGGATTAAGAGAGAAAAATGCATATGTATATGGAATTTAAACTATTCCCACCGTCAACTTCCCTAGAATTTAATTTAAAAAATAACAAATTTTATTCAATTCTTTCTTTATTTAATTTATCCCTTCCTCCATCTCTCCTCTCTCCATTTAATGAAATTAATTTTTGATATACAGTGGTGTCTCGTACAACGTACTTAATCCGTTCCAGGTGCATGTCCGTTAAGTGAAACGTCCGTTATACGAAACGCATTTTCCCATAGAAATACATATTAAAACATATAATTCGTTCCGCAGCATAAAATAACCGTACTGTATCATAATAAATGTAAATGGAGCAGACACCAATTATGCCGGGTAGTCAGATGTTGTGAGGAGGAGGTGGAAGAACACTTTCTTTACACATTCATACAGATACAGACTTTTTACACATTGCAACGGGTCTTTTTTTATTGTTTTTTGATCGGAGTCAGATTCAGGAGAGGCTACCGGAACTTGCAGGGTCAACTTCTCTTGTTCCATCCTTTGTTTTTTGCCCTCTGGCTTCTTGAAAAACATGACCAAGGTGGTCTGTTTCTCTTTCTTCTTTAACACCTGTCGGAAATGACGGACAAAGGTGTCATCGTAGAGATCATTGATCCTGTTGGCCTCAGCTGTGTTTGGATAATAAGTGTTGGTAAACTCCTGAACCTCTCCCCATTCGACAAGAAAGTTTTTGTCAACTTTCACTCCTGATGATTTCTTGCTTTGTTTCTATTGAAATCACCCTTCTGTTTTTTTAGAAGCCATGATGCATTATAAATGACTTAACTTGCCAGATTATATGATACGAATAATTCTTTATTAATTAAGATCTCTAAACACTTCTACGAGCTACTCTCGCTCCGTTTGTTTTTTACAACTTCTTTTCGTCCCGCCACCTCGGCATCTACACAATTACATTTCGTTTATTTGAATCGTCAACATATACTGTATTACATTACATTTAATGTTTATTTAAATCATCAACATATATTACATTACATTTCTACTTCAGATATACTAATAATACATTCTAATAATACTAATATATCCTAAAAATAGCAGATTGTCATTGGCAACGGCAAAAGAGTGGAAACAGAAAGTCCGTTGTTCGCAGCAAGTCCGTTGCTCGAGTCACGTAACGGTCAAACAGAAAGTCCGTTATTCGCAGCGTACGTTATACGAGGCACCACTGTAATGTACTTTCATGTTTTTCCAGGAATTTCTTTTTTATAATAAAAACTACAATATAATTGTTGTATTGCAAAATAAATGAATTTATACAGGGTGTCCCAAAAGTTTCCATACATATAAAGATGAAATGTAACTTTATTTAGAAAACATTAAAATTCAGCATTAAGATTTGTGTCAGTGGATTGACGGAGTAAGGCAACAGAACACATGGGTAATCTGCCAGTGGGGTAACTTCTAGCAGGACCTATGCGGAAGCTGGATTCTGTTTAGGTGTTAGACACATGAAGAAAATCCAGAACACTGCATGGTCGTCACTGGTCAGGCACAAACCAATAACCAACTATAAGTGTTCAATAGTTTTATTTATTCGGCCACTGGTGGCCTTGATTTGTATCATTGTATGAAGACTTTTGGGACATCCTATATATTATCTTACCTCGATTAATAATCCACACTTATGTGTATTTTCAGGTATCTTATGTAAAGGCTGTGGACATTTGGATACAACTTTGTACATTTTTAGTCTTCTGTGCATTTCTGGAATTCCCATTTGTTAATTTTATAGCTAGGAAAAGTCAAAATTCTTCCGAAAAGTCGAAAACTTCTAATCCTGCCAATGCTTCTAAAGCACAGCCGTCCTTATTTAAAGTAAGTCAATTGTTTCGTTTTTCTACACTATAAAGTTAAATAACAAATAGAACACTCGAATATATTCTTAAAATTTTAATAATAGATTTTCAATCAAAATTCTCTTGCATTGAAGATTAACGTAATATCTACTTTATTAGTTTTTAAACAACGTTATCGAACTGAATAAAAAATTCCAGTATGATAAATGTATAACTAAAATTCACAAAAACACTATAAAATTAAAATAAGGTGGAATTTTTATATTTAATATGCTTCTATACTCAGGGCCTTCGAGAGGGGAGCTGGGGATTTTTCTTATACGAGGGTAGTCCCAGAAGTACCCGACCTAACAAAGAAGACACAAAAAATTTGGTAAAACATATCTTTATTTTTCAACATAGTCTCCTTTTAGCTCGATACACTTTTTCTAGCAATGTACAATAGCTTCGATCCCCTGTTTATAGTGAGAACTGTCGAGCTTCTCAAAATAGCCATCAACCGCAGACTCCACCTCTTCATTGTTGGCAAATCTTTTATCACCAAGCCATTTTTTTAAGCTTAGAAAGAGAAAACAATCCGAGGGGGCTAAATCTGGCGAATAGAGTGCGTGAGGAAGCAATTTGAACCTTAACTCATTGATTTTGGCCATCGCAATAACGGATGTGTGAACTGTGCCTTGTCTTGATGAAACAACACTTACTTTTTCGCGCAAATGTGGCCGTTTTTTCTTGATTTCATCACTCAAGCGCTGCAATAAGTTCACATAATACTTGCCGTTGATTGTTTTTCCTGGGCGCATCCCAAAAAACTGACGCCATGACCTTGCCAGCAAATGGAACTGTTTTCGCTTTCTTTGGAGCTGATTCTCCCCTTTCAGTCCATTGTTTCGACTGTTCTTTCGTCTCAGGTGTGAAGTGATGAACCCATGTTTCATCCATTGTTATGAATCGACGCAAAAACTCGGCTTTGTTGCTGCGAAACATTGCCAGACTCGATTCAAACATCCTCACGACGCTGTTTATGTCCCATCGTGAGCAAATGTGGCACCCATCTTGCGCACAGCTTTCTCATGTCCAAATTTTCAGTTAAAGTGCGATGTACAGCACTTTTTAAATGCGTACCATATCTGCTAGCTCTTACACTTTGAGTCGACTGTCATCCAAAACCATTTTGTGGATTTTTTTCACCTCTTCTGGCATGGTCACCTCACTTGGTCGACCACTACGATGTTAATCTTGGCAGCTCGTACGGCCTCGTTTAAACTCTGCCACCCAATATTTTATTGTTGTAACGAGGGAGCAGACTCCCCCAGAGTAGAATCTAGCTCAGCTTTAATATTGGTTGGACTGAAACCTTTCAAATGAAAGTATTGTATCATATAACGATGACAAATTTTTTCCATGTTTACAAATTCACTGAGATTGTTCATTATTTATGGCTGCCAAAAAAAATGCTATACAACGTAACGTCTTCAAACTTCAAACTTAAGCTTTATAAGGTTAATACTTTCGAACACAGTCGTTTTTTTTCAAACAAGTACCGCCATCTATGTCAGGTCGGGTACTTCTGGGACGACCCTCGTACCTGAAGGAAACTTAGCGGTTCCTATCTCAATAAATTAATGTCACTTTTATTACACCGATTCTTATTAATAAAGAAGCATTCTACGTATTTCATTTGTTAAAATTTGACATAAAGGGCCTGCTCTACCCCTGGGCCCGGTTTATACCGTGCCACCACCAGAGATGATATAGTTAATTAGGGCCTTCCGCTCCTAATCTTTCCAGATCTGTTCTTAACCAGATAACAGTGGGAATTTAATTCTACAATTTTTTTTCAAATTGCAGTCCAATTATTGAACATTGTAATGTAAAAAATAAAATAATTGTTATTCGTAAATTAATATACGTAAAGTGCATTATAAATCTGCATTATGAATTCTACATATAACCTAAGAATTTATCAATTACGCGGTTGCGATAATAGTAGTTATCCTAATTAATCAGATGGACGTTATAAAAAGAGATAAAGTTTTCTACAAAGGTATTATTATCATAAGCATATTAACTATTCCAAATTCAAAATTTTCTGACATATAATACCTAATAAATTTCGTTAAACCTATTTATTATAATATAAATTACGACACTAGTTCCTTAATCCACCATCCGATAATTTAGCGCCATTCTAGTCTAATAGGTGACTGATCAACAAACTTCTTCTGTATATGAATATTTAAACCATAATCGAAATAATACAGTATGATTTATATTACAATTCCTTATCCATAAATGGATATTAATATAAATGTTTTTAGAACAGAATATTTAAATTTTTCTGGTTTCTCTTGAAGATTCTATTCTGTTAGAATAGATTTTGAATAACGCAGAAAATTATACACGATAATGTTAGCTCGGTTTCTCTTGTAATAAATACACAATATAACGACAATTTTTAATATTGCTTACTAACATTGCATTTTTTATTAAATTAAATTTAAAAATTTTGTTCAAAAAAAATTCAATGAAGCAAAACTATTAATTAACTGAAACAAGTAGACTAATTATAAAACATGAGAGTTAAATAGACTGTGCATTTCAGCTATAAAATAATTATTTTCAATTAGAGGAAAAGTAAATCCATATATTTAGCATATTTTTGGTGAAATGTTACGTTTCTCAACGGTAAAATCGCAATAGCAGGAAGAATTGCAGGACTGGTAGAGGTGACATATGCAGTGATTAAGTTTGCGTACGCATCGGGTAATGTGGTGTCCAGTTTTGGGCTATAAAAATCAGCAGCCTGCTCTGGCTGTAAATGCTATCAACGACGATTCGCGGCAAACGAATTTTCGAAGAAGCGTAGACAATGCCTCGAGACGACAGCGTGCCGAATAACACCAGTTAACGGCTGGGGAACCAGACCGTATCTTGGAGCTGCGCGACCTTGATTTGTCATGAGCGCAGTTGCCACGCGTGTTGAGCACGCCTGAGTACCATCCAGCGATGTGTGACACGATGGACGCAGTAACATTTGCAAACACATTGAACAGGGAGCGGATTGCACTGGCACATTACAGAGCGCACAGACTGGCAAATTCCCGAACGGCCCGTCGGGACCCGTTCGCCACGGAACGTGGCATCAGAAACTTCCTGTCGCCGTCAATGAGTGCATCTGAGTCCACCCAAACCATTCGCAACAGATTCCATAAAGACGGGTTGGACGGCAACCGAGGTGCTATTAACCACTCGACACAGCGCTGGACCACTGAATGGCATCGGGTATTGTTTACGGAAGAATTACGATTTTGTCTGTGAAGGAATGACGGCTGTGGACGGATATGGCGGTATCCCGGTAAACGCTACCTGTCAGCTCTTTTTTCCCAGAGTCACACCGGCCCCATACCTAGCATTATGGTTTGAGGGCATCATGGTTTAGGGAGGCATCATGTTCGATTAGCGGACAGCCTTGGTGCACGTTACCGGTACTCTAAAAGCAGATCAGTACGTCACACGAATTGTAAGGCCTGTGGTTCGTCCATTGGCTCACAACGCTGTGTGTCCAGAAAGACAATGTCCGACCGCACGTTGCATGGTGAACTCCCACCAGCCTGAACAAAATCCACATCCTTCCCTGGCCAACAGCCTTGACGGATCGGTCTCATCGAAGACCTGTTGGACCTAGTCCGACGTGAGGTGCACCGAAGACATACCATAGACGACGTGTGCACCGCAGTGGACATAGCTTGGCAAGGGATACCTCAGACAACCTCGTATGCATGCCTCGCCGAGTAGTGGCCTGTATAACTGCTCGTGGGGGCCATATTTGTTACTGAATAAACGGGTGTCTGTTGCGTATCTTTGCTTGTTCTTTTAATCATTTGCATATTTCTATCTCATGTACCGGTCCTGCAACGTGCATGAGGCTACGCGAATTATTTCGTGGTGTTGCGATTTCACTTTTGAGAAGTGTATTTACTTTCTCTTATTTAATTTTCATATCGAATAGTTTAGTATGAGTACTAAATCGTATATAAATATTCATCATCTTTTATATTAAGTTTTGTTATGTCACGCGTTTAGTAAAACTTGCTGTATTTTTCAGTTTAATTTTTTAAGGCGTTTCATCTTTCGGAATTACTCACGGAATTATCATTAAATAAATAATAAATTAAACCTTATAACACTTGGAGACATTTAAGCAATTATAAAGAAAAATTGAATCTATATATTTATGTTATAAAATTATTAATCAGTTATTTATTTGTATTGTTTTCTTTTTAAATTAAGAATATTGTAAATATATTTTAAGAAATATTTCTTTATTTGTACAGATTGTGAAACCAACATCGGCCACAAATAAAGTTAGTTGCACAGAATCGTCGCAACCAGCTGCTAAACAAACAACCGGTTTCGAATTCGACGACGAAGAAAACAAATTAGACTTTTGTCATATTTTTCCAAAACCATCAGAAGATCTAGCCAGAGCCATCGATCGAGTTTCTCGATTTTTATTTCCATTTATATTTGTGATATTCAATCTCATTTACTGGTTTAAGTGGCTGGCATAACGAAAACTTCAAAGTTTTCTCTATATATATCGATACAGAACAGATTAAAAATAGATACGGCGAGTTCTCACTTAACGTCGTCCACAGTTTCTTGGAAACTGCGACGATATAACGAAATCAATTTTACTGTAGGCCTGCAGTTTTCATCAGTGATTTACTGTACGCAGGAAGGAGTACGCAAGAAGGATCCGTTAGTGCTACAAGTCTACACAAAGAAGGCTCAGATGTCCGCGAGTGAAAAAAGGCTGAGAACCGCTGCTATAGGCTAAATGATACAAACAAGATACAATTCTTTAATATTGTTCTAATTGAATAATGTCTGCAACCTCTAGCATTTATTTTCCACCTCGAAGAATCAATTTTACTGTTTGTAAAGAAAATTCAACAATAACTGTAAATAATTACAAAGTACTTTGTATAGCGACGTTAAGTGAAGACTTGTTTTACATTTATGATTCGGATTTTATCACATTTTGGAAGAATGATCACGATTAAACAAACGTTAATCGTTGTTCGTTGTAAAATAATGCCATATTTTTCTCTCTATATCTCTTTATAACATATATTTATTTAATAAAACATTAAAACAGTATATATTTATCTTTTTTTTATTTTCCCGGATGTTATAAAATATAACATAGGAAAAGTATTGTAATCGATTAAATTTTCATCCACCCGTTTTAACGTTCGAATCAAAGAATGTTAAGTCTTTTGCCTTTTTATAATAATTAATAATATAAAAGTTATTTTTAGTAATGTCTTATAACAGATGGTGTCATACACAATCTTAACTGCAAGCTAATATCATAGTGTTTTTTTAAATTTTAATATTTTTTAAATATAAATAAGTTTTCAATTTTTGTTACGATATAAAATTTAATAAATAACAAAAAATTAAAAGGAGTAATTCTGGTGAATCATGAGAAATTTCTCTATTAGCTGAATAAACAATTCTCTCTATTTATCTGTCTAAAATTTACATTACAGTTAGTTGACGATCGAAATGCAAAGAATTTATTTATTAAGTCTAACTTAATACAACTTTCTATACAACATTCTGTTCTCTTTGTCAAAAATGATGGATTATTCGTTTTACTCTCCTTAAATTATAATATTACAGCACGTGAATGCTATAGTATTATAATTTAAGGAGAGTAAAACGAATAATCCATCATTTTTGTAGTATTATAATTGTTAAGTGTAACGAATACATCATTGAAGAAACAAATAACGTCGGTGTGCCGAAATTGACCACAGTTTTCCAACTTTTTCAAACCAATTATCTACCCAAATAACTTAGTGTCGCGACCCAAGACGGCTGGTGTCACGGGTTAATGGATTAAAATATGCCATAAACAGTAAATTGAATTATTAGTATATGTAATATCCAACAAACAATAATTTTAAATCTTACTGTCCACTAGTCGTACATATAAAAAATGGAATTATACAGCATAGTTTCTGTATAATTCCTGTAAGAAGAAGATAGGAATGAAGAACTTGAAGATAAAGTGAAAAATAAGTTTTTATTAAATGATTACCCGTATAACTTAACTTAAAAAATGGGAAACAGAATATTTTAAATGTTGATATAACATTAAAGAACAAAAGAAAAAAGTAGACTATTATGCCTATCTGTATGTTAAGAATACTGTTGTGCTAAGAAATTAAGAGAAAAACAATTATTTTAGTGCCTGTAACAGAATAAATTAAGTAAAATAATTAATATATATAAAAAGTAAAAAATTGATATTTCTCAGAAAGTAAGATTTATTTATGAAATTAAATGCACATGTCAGGAACCGAAAATATATACAGGAAAGACAGAATGAAAACTTGGAAAAAAAATTAAAGAACACTTGGCAACGATTAGATTACAATATATAGTTATATTTACCCTAGGTATCCAAGATTGCGGCCCATTTGGTAACCTCGACGGCATGCACGTTTAGAAATGAAATGTGGATGGCGCTTATTATACTGACGATTTCATATGCAAATTTTCACGGGTTGTTATGACATTATTAAAGCGGCCTACAACACTTGAATTTAAATTGTATCTCCGTACCCTTGTATGGTAAAGGGAGTGTTCATATTGTGTCACTTGTTTTCCGTGTTTCTACTTCAATTATTGAAGAGATACTGAGGAAAAAATAGTTCGAATTGTATTTAGTATAGGGGAGATCGGGGCAAGATCGGCATGTTAAGCTTTACTTAAATTTTGTGTAATAAATACTGCTGTAAACTGAAAAAAAAGCTTTGCATATTGTCTATTGGAATGTTACCTTACTATAGAACTGGTTAAAATCAGTTTGGAAATAAAAATAATTAAAATAATTACAACTTTACAAGAAGAGAGAAATTGACGAAGTTGCCCCGGGTATAGGGGCAAGATCGGCAACTTCTCTCTTTTTGTAAAGTTGTAATTATTTTAATTATTTTTATTAAAGTTGCCCCTGGTATAGGGGCAACAGTAATGGGGCAAGATAGGCACGTATATAAAATTATGTTATTAACAATGTATAAGTTGGAATTCACTATTAAAACAAAGAAATACAAATCCAACACCCATTTAATATTATTACAACGAAATGCAAGTTCAAAGACATATATACATGAATAACAAATGCAAACATGTTTTCATTTATCATCTGTTTGATTTTTATCCTTTGCTTCTAATGTGGCTTTATGTTGCCGATCTTACCCCGCTAGTCATGATTTCGAAACATTAAGTACAACCCTGAGAACAGAATGCCAAGCCACGATCTGGCCACGTGAATAAGTTGAAGTTACATCCTTCTAACAGGAAAAGTAACTTTCGTTATCATGGAATTATAACAAAACCTGCCAATTCAATATAAATGGAAAAAAAATATTATATGGAATTGAACGAAAATGAAAATTTGCTTGATAATTCAACTACGCTTGTTGGAGAACAATAAAAACACTACACTCAACAAGCCACCAATAAAACTCAACTGCCTAACCTATAACCAAAGTCTCCTTTTAATTTGTTTTTTAAAAAAAGCGCTTGACAAACTTGCCCCGCATGCCGAAGTTGCCCCGATCTCCCCTAAATAAATCTCTTTTGTTATTAATAAAATAACTGCCAAAAAAATCGAAGTAATTTTATTTACAGTACCTTCCTTTATGAAGGTTTTTTACAATTATATATAAATATATTTCAAATGGACTTGAATGAATTTGCTAAACTAAATTGCTTCACTAAAGCACTCACTGCTTCACGTGGCAGTTACTAAATTACTGGATATGTCAGAAGAAGCCTTAAGAGCTCAGCCTACCTCTTTAGAGACCTAGAATAGAATTCGAGCGGCAACCCAAGAATTTTTCGTGGATGGTTTACAAGGATATCTCTCATCACCGCAGAAAACTCAGTTTACCCCTTTTCTCCAAAGACGAAGAAAAATCACTTTACTCCGTTTTTTTAAAGTCTGCATGGGACGAAGTCAGAAGAAACTAATCGACTTATTTATGATGTTAAAGCAAATGGAAGAGACAAAATATTAGACTGTAATATTACTAAATTATTACAAATATTGCTTTTAGCCCTTAGTATAATTAAATTAAATTAAATTAAATATCTATTAATGTGTAAATAATACCTAATAATAAATAATAAGAGCTGATCACTCAGTGATAATAGACACAAACACTCAGGAATCAATGTAGATCCTTTAATAAAACAAAAACGGCATACAGTAAAAAACGACTACATGAGTATGAGTAATTAGCATAAATAACCAAAATGAACTCTTCAGTTGGTATTAATATAAAAAAATTTATTATAATTAGACTAAACTATACAAAACAAACAAACACTATAAAAGTATGAGCAGTAAACATTAAATAAATGCAAAAGAGACAGGCGTAAAACGGCTTCATATCCAGTATAATTATAAGGCGATTTGACGTAAAGGGTGCTAATACAAACAGTTAAAAATTAGCAGAATAATAGGTTAACAGTTATGGAATAATGTTATACAAACAAATTATACATATACATACCACAACAGTAAAATGATAGAGTTGAGAATGGCATTACTACAGGATGCAGAGCGGTTACAAAGAAGATGTGGTACAATACTGAGTGTTTGTGCCTATGTCACTGGTGTGATAAGCCTTTATTATTACCTACCTCATATTAGTAGATATTAAATTAAATTTAATGTAATATTATTTTTATCACACTATTTTCATGCAATCTCAGAAGCTGGTCCTAAACTTTACCAGAGTTTAGGACCAGCTTATGTTAGACGGAATAATATTTTTGAAACTTTAATCCGCGACTAAAATGTTTTACTTTTTATTTATAATAACATATTTAACAGTAAAAAAAGCAATTTTTTCAGGGTATATAATTAGAGTTGCAGAAAGCTTAATTTTGGGAATATACATGAATTTTTATTTTAAAAAATTGTAAATGCTAATAAATAACAACTTTTTTATTAAACTGCGGCGCCTAGAGGGACAAAATAATAAAATTTTCCTGAACAAGGAGGAAGTTAGTAGCACTAAAAATATTTTTTCTCTTTACTTCCTTCACTTTAATATAGTAATTTAATTTAGATGCCCCAATATGTATTTTTCCACAGACCCGTTAATTTTTGAAGAAATACGGTCTCGTTAAAATGTATTTTGATTTTATAAATTAAATTTATGCCATTTTCTGAAATAAATTAAAATAACGTTATAGAACTTCAATCACAAAGGATTTATCAAAAAGAAAATAAAATGCTTCTTAATTGTACGAGAGAAAGTGACTGAATAGTCTACGTATCAATTTGTCCAGATTTCTTAAATATAATCTCGTTAATATATAAAGAACTTTATACTTTTTTTTACAATTTAAAATATTTGAGATGTCAACAATACAATTTTGGTGATTGTTGAGAGTCGATTTGTTGAAACAATTTCAATGCGAATGTGTGCGATTTATTTCGAAGAAATGAAGAATTTCATTATTTTTATGCTAATTTACATAGATTT